AAAAAAAACATTAGGTATACAGTTAGGCAAAACTATGTTCTGACGTATTACCGGCATCGAATCCAAGTCTTCATTCGTAAACTCATTTGAATAACGATTTATGAACCTTGAAATATTGATTAAGCTACAGCGTGAAATTATTTTACATAGCAAGTCAACAAAATTATATACGAAATATAACGACCATACCCTGCTCTGTGTGTCGATTTTGTACATAAACGAAAAAGAAAAACTCAATCAAGCATGAATATGTAACCAAATAAGAGCTAGTAGCGTTTATAATATTTCTATATCTACCGATACATTATATTATATAAAGTCACGTATAGGCAAATGAAAATTTTTTTCTCGTTCTGTATAATATTGAAGAGCGCAAAGTGCGCATACGGTACAATAGAAACACATTTTTCGTTTTTTTATATATCTTGGGATGATGATTTGAAACTTCAAAAACCACCGATACTAGCCTGAAGACTCACAGAAAATTATCAATTTTGGTAGAAAATTTTCATAAATCGATGAAAAACAGAAATAGTATTTCAGTTGGTATATCAACAAAACTTTATGAAACTCGCCATTTGCTAATCGGCTTTTCAACTTAGAACACAATTGAATAAAATTCGAGAGAGCGAATCACAATATATGTTTCTTTTTTTTGCAAGATTTTGCATAAGAAACTCTCGTTTTCTTGATACTCTCGTATGATTCATCTTTCACGGAAGTGTAACTACGTCACATTTAATAAAAATCTTTCCATTTTTGTTTTAATAACCGTTTCAGCATGGCTCTAAGCGGAATTTGACAAGATCTATGGTGCAAACTGTGATTCTCGTAAAATCTAAAATTACTAATATGTTCTATTAGAATTTTGATATCTTATTCGAGTAATGTCCATTTATATTCGCACAAGAACCTGTTTCAAAAGTTCCACTAATATTCCAAGCATAGCTTGACGAGTTCTATCATATAATGTGCTTAGATACTTGATGCCTGAAATTTTAACTTTTGTATGTATTTTTTACGGCGCTCTCTACAGTGACAAAAAGTCACTGTTCAAGATATCGAAGATTTAAGCATATCATTAGATAGAACTTAACGAGTTGTAGTTCAATACGAATAGAACACCTGGAACAGTTTATGCATGAATATAAACAGATTTTATTCGATTAAGGTGGCAAAATTTCAAGAAGAACTATCATTATTTTTAGATTTTTCAAATCACAGTTTGTACTGTAGAAAATGTCACTCGGCCGATGTTGATACTAATTTTACTTTTATAATACTTTTGTAAAACACTTCTTTTAATGTTTTAAGATGCACATACTTTTGATTATTTGCGTAAGTCTAAGAAAATTTTTGATTCTACTATAGCAATGTAAAAATAATAGATTCTAATCCTTTGCGCAAAATGTGTTCATAGCATGTATTTTCGATCCAGTGTAATAATAACAAGTAAAATTCATTTCATTCAAGACTGATGAAACAACAATAGAGATATAGTTTAATGTTGTTCTAAGAATCGACTTATATGTGGCTATTTATCTTTTTATCTGTAAATAAGTCATAAAGTATTATCCTGAAACGACAGTAACGATTATTTTATGTCCTCTTTTTATTTCTCCGTCGTCTTCTTTTTTTTATACGGTACTCTTAACTGAATTCTCATTGAGTTCAGCCCTTTCTCATTGTCGTGTTCTTCATCGTGCAAATTTCCATCTAATATCATTCTGATTAACTAAGCCTATTTAGATAACTACTCGATATTCTTATATATTCACTTCTTCGTCGCACACTTAGTCTTCTTGTTCATTATTTGATTCGACAGATTCATAGGTATTATTCACACATACTTCTAATATGATCATTGTGTCATTCGTTATTCTGCTATATCACCTCCGACATCATCTAGCTGCTTCTCACACGGTGCAACATGTAATGAATTGTATTATCCAGATACTTTCAGTTTTGATAGTTATGGAAATATATTTGTTACCAATTCTGCTAATACTCGAATTTAAAAATTTATATTCTTAACAAATTCATGTAGTAAGTTTATGAGTATTTAGCTTAGTTTTCGAGTACTTATTCTGCAGCTCGATTAAACTCGACACTATTTGTGATATTCAGAGTATGTTAGGTTTTATTCTTTTTCGAGCAATCTCTTTTCAACTCATTTAACAAGTTTTGTTGGTGGTTTTGTTATTTTATCTGAATCAATTAATTGGAATTATGTATTTGCTAATGCTGATTTTATGAAAAATAAAACAATTTATTTAACAGTCATTTGTGTACCTGTAATTTATATTATTTTAATCATATATGCACGTTTCAAAGATAAAAAAGATATTGAAACATTAGGAGTAACACCATTACCTGATAATCATCGATCAGATCAATATTTTTATCAAATTATTGTTTTTACTGGTCAACGACAAAATGCTGGAACAAATTCAAATGTAAGATAAACAAAAAAAAGAATAGATTTTCAAAATATATTTTATATATAGGTTCATTTTGTTATATATGGTGATAATGATGAAATACATATTCGTACATTAGCTGATTCTCAACGAAAAATTTTGCAACATGGTGGAATTGATTCATTTATAATGGCAGTTCCACAGTAATTTATTATTTAATAAATAAAGGAAATATTAAATTTTCTATTTAGATCATTAAGATTATTAAATAATATTCGTATTTGGCATGATAATACAGGTAAAGGTTCATCATCATCATGGTTTCTTAAATATTTAATTATTCGTGATTTACAAACAATGGAAAAATTTTATTTTATTTGTTAACGTTGGTTTGCAGTCGAAAAAGATGATGGAAAAGTAATTGGTTATTTTACTTTTTTGAATATTTTTTTTTTCAAATAGATTGAACGTATTTTATCAGTTGCAAATGAAATCGAAAAACAAAATTTATCTTATCTATTAACAAAACATACATATTATCGTATATCAGATGGCCATTTATGGTTTTCAATATTTTTTCGTCCACCATCAAATAAATTTACTCGTATTCAACGATGTACATGTTGTTTTGTTTTATTTTTTATTTCAATGTTTTTAAATATAATGTATTATGATTTATCAAATGAAGCTAAAAAAATAATTCAACAAATACTGCTAGTTTATCTTTTGGTTCTTTTTATCTTAATTCTCAATAAGTAAAATAAATGTTTTTTTTTGTTTATTCTATTTAACATATTCAATAGGTAATTATTGGTATAATTGTTGAATTATTTGCATTAATTCGAAGTCTTTTAATTGTGCAATTATTTTAACGTCTTCAATCTCGTAATAAACAGATTTCACGAAAAGTTGCAAGATACGTCCTTCGATAATATCGAAAATTTTATTACGTGGCATTTGTTCAAAATGCATTTAAACGAATTGGCCGAAAGATAAACAGTCTAACGGCCATTCGAAAGGAAGAAAAAAAACGTTCAATATATAACATGCGCATGCCCTCACGAACCTCGAAGCTAATTTAATTATACATAGTAAAAAATAAAAAAATTTGATTTGAACAAAAGTCCAAAAGTATTTTTTTTGCATTTGTTAGAGATCAACTGATTTTTCTACATAAAGCTAGAGAAAATAGAATGCAAATAGTATGGACCGATAGAGTAAGTGATGCTCTATCGATCCATACTAGAATAAGAAACTTTCATTGTTCCGCTGAAATACAGCAAATCATGAAAAACTATTCAAATTAACGTGATTAACCTGTATAATACCTGGATTTATTAAATTGAACAACATATATTATCTCTTTTGTATAATTATTTTCATGTAACATGATTAAAAATTGACTAAATAATCTATAGGAAAAAAACTATGTTTCAGTTAATATGAATGATTAAATCAATTATAGTTTTCTCTAGAACCATATCATATTAAATCTACATTTGCACAATGTATGTTTTATTTTGACATTAAGATAAAATAGAATTTAATGATGGCAGAACTATCACTTAAAGATTTTTTAATTGGTACGAAGAATAATTATATCTAAAATATCCTTCGGTAATCCACACATGCATTCAGCTTCCTTACTTTTTTTGATAAAATACTGTGGTAAGGCATCAATTTTAGTTCATAAGTTTTTAATATGCTTTTATCAAAGATTCTTTTTTTCGATGATTCAATACATTAGAAAGATAGTTGATTAATCCCGTTAATATCATACTATTTTATATGTAAAGAGAAAAAAATGAGACGAGCAATTTTGTATTAAGATGTACTTGTTGAATCTGTATCGCAAAGACGGTAGAGATTTCAGAAGTTGCCTCCAGCTAAAATAACTGGAGTAATCCGAATTACTCCAAATTCATTTTTCAGTTTTTGAAGTGGCTGATAGTGGTCTCAGTATTTTAAATAATGCATCACAATGGCTCGTACGTTCATCGAGATATTCTTAGGTTCCATAGAAACATTTCGGACTATCGAATGGTATCATTTTTTATCGCATAAGACGGAATGAAAAACGAGTTAAGAGATGGGGAAATCAAGTTCTAGTTATTTTGCTGGAGTAATTCGACTTACCCCGAAGGGCTTTATCAATAACAGTGGTTATAACCAACAATTACTATGGTTTATCATTTGAATAGACAGCAAACATTTTCTTGTTTGTTACAAAATATTTTCACATGTTACTAATTAATATAAGACATTGTTCGATTGTTTCTTTAATAAACAGATCTGGTTTTAATTAATATGAAACAATGATATAGAAGTAGCTAAAAGCGATCATCGATCTTCATGTTTAATCTAATTACAAGTCTAACTGAAATTTGATGATTAGTCGTTTATAACAGCATGCTTTTGTAAAGCCAAGGCCAAACAAACAATCATCTAGGGTGTCGTTCTTCTGAATTTATTTATAAAATATAATCAGGAAAAGAAAATCTTATTATATTTATCTGATAAATCAAAGACTAAATCTCAATGTGAATTACAACTAATATCCGTTTATTGTTATAAGATTTATTTTAGAAAGAAAGAATTAATCATCGTAATTAACATCTGATAAACTCTTGTACTAAATAACATTGACATTTTATCTTCGTTATTAGAGTTCATCAAATATAATTACTATTGTTTAAATAATAATATTCAAAAATATGTTTTGGCTCCTGAGATTCATTAATTTGAAAGAAAATATTCGATTGTTTGTTAATCATATTATAATATAATTAAAATTTCTTATCGAAATACTTCCTATTAACATTTGATTCGTCATTATAATAATATTGTAATCCATCTAGGAATGACATTTCTTTGATTAATTTGTTATTTTTTTCATAATTCAC